TTTTCGTCACAGCGTGATGAAAACAGAATATAATAATACCTACGTGTTTACCGCCCTCGTCCTCGCCTCGAGCAGTAATCCACGCTGGTTGAAATGTCTTGTTTTCCTCCCTTGATGTACAGTCCACTATTCCAAGATACAGTTTGTTTTCAATCGTTAGAAGTGCTTTTGGGCCATATTTCGGTCAGCAGCGATCAAAATGATCGCAAGAATTTACTCAACAAATTGCGCGACGTTTCGAGCGCTCAAGGCGCTCCTCCTCAGGTGCATGTTTTATTCTACATCAGGAAAGCAGACATTACATTTCAATTGTAAACTACTGGACAACTATTATCACCGAACGGTACTTGAATGAACAGAAAATAATCTTAAAATTGCAGTTACAGTTCATTTTCCCCGAGAGCAATGCAAGTATTTTCTCTCATTCACTCGGTACCACATGTCAGGCCTATTGTTCGGGTCACGTACACTTGAGAGTTCGGGGCTAGGCCAGCGCAATCGACTGTGGGGGTGTAAGACCAACCCCATCGAGTGAGTTCAGGGTCACGATTGGTCCCCTACTCCTTCCGGTGGAAAGAATTTTCGAACTTGCGAGACAGAATAATTCAGTACCGAAGTGGTAAAACGGTTTAAGTCGACTTATCTCCCAGTCGAGTTTTTGAGGAATACCTGCGAATCCAAGGGAGATAGCGAAATTTTCGTAATTAGATTCATTGTAGTACTCAATCAGTTCTACAGAAATGGTTATAACAAAAACTTGCTATCTCCCTTAGATTCCGAGATATTCATTGAAAACTGGTCAGTAGTCAAAATTGACTTATACCGGTTTACCACTTCGCTACTGAATTTTAAGAGTAAGTGTAAGATCAGATCCACTACCTACGTGGACCGGAGAACTTGGAGAACTAAATGATTGAACTAGTTCAACTAATATTTTGAGTCAGGAGTTTACCAAGTTGTTGTTGTTGTGAAATGAATAACAATTAAACCAAATATTGTGTGCCAGTATAGAATCAGCGTTTCTGTCTACAATTATTTCAAAGATTCCCGCACTTGTGGAGCAGAGTGCTTTATAGGTCTTCCAATACAAGTTTATCCGTCTGTGGGTACCCCCTCTCCACGTGATTTCCACTTGTAACCGTGTCTCCCACTCCTGAAAACGGAGGAAAAGGTTCTACTGGAAGGCCTACAGCACTCCACGGGCAACGGACCTGCCATCTGAACCAGCAAACCACCAGCTTGGGACGTAACATTCTACCGGTTCTCACGATTATTCTTTCGGTTTTTTTTCATTCGCTTGTGGCCTTTTTCGTTGGTTTATTTGGTCGATTTATTCATGAGTGTGGGACTACCCCCGAGGTGGCCAGACCAACAGGTGACAGGCGGACAAAGAGCAGTTGCATTGTCACCGAGATGAATTATTAATATTGAGAAAACTTTATTGCAAATTGGTATTCTAGGTTTATCGAGAGGCAAGAGTGATTCGGAGGGAATTACTCATTTATATTCATATGTTGCGTGATTTTTACATCACCTGACGACAAAATTTACGGTCTCAATAAAATGTAAATTGCAATTTTTAATATTTCGTTTTTGAAAACAAAACGACTCAAAAAATTTTTCGAATTATTTTGTGGATTATTATTATAAAAGACGGAATTTTTTTCAGAAATTTGTTGAAATTCTTCTCAATTTAATGCATTCACTTTAGATTCTTCCTTATATTGTAATTAAAAATCGAAAAGAACTTAGGAAGGGAAAATGATTTTTGCTGCAGTTAAAAAAATGATTTTGATTTGTCTTTTCAAGTCTATGAGAATGAAGTTGAGTTCATCCTGATGTTCTTTCAATGATCGTTGAAACCTGGAGAAAGGTGGGAGGGGGAGTAGAAGGGCAAGTGGGTGATTGATGATTTTGGAATTTTTGACAGCGTTCGTGCCACTGGGCACATTCCCACCCACACGGATTCATGAGAGAATACACGTGTGCGTGAGAGAGGGGCATTGGCGAGGGACAATGTTGCAGATAAAGTACAGAGCGGAGAGACATCAACGTTGGCTTGTATGGCAGAGGAATAATGTCGATGAACTTCGGGGTGTGTGGAGGTGGGGGAGGAGTCGATAACATAGGGATTTATCGAAACTTTGAAGTTAGGTCCATTCCATCCAGATCTTGGAATATTTACATGGCGACATTGAACTCATCGGTAATAATCGTGGATGAACGAATAGAGAACCGACGCCTTGAGCTTGTCAATAAACAAAAAGTTGAGAAAATGTTCTTTCGACATAAAAGTAGTTCTCAGTGCAACATAAGAGCAATTATGGCTATTGATTTATTCTTGAAAAAAATTAAAGTGAATGTAGGAGATCTTGATAAAAATGATCGATTATTCTTTTGATTTGTATTCTAATTAGTACTCTTCAACAGAGCAAACCCATTGGTTTAAAATGCTTAAATGAATCAAAAAAATAGCGAACATAAGTATGAGTAATTAATAGGGGAGGGTAGGGCAAAACGGACCGCTAGGGAAAAACTGACCACTGACAGAAAATTGGTAATTTTTGTTTTTTTTTCTTCTCTTCAAATCAGGAACACTGACTCTATTGAATTAAAAGTGAGTTCCAGGAACATA